GAGGACAAGCAATTGTCCATGGGAAACATCCCATCAGTGGGCCATAACTACTGATGAAGTTTGTGGTGGTGGCATTAGGACTTCTAGCTATCCCAGTAATAAGGGCCTCAATCCCTGGCCTTGAGAGTCTTTTGTGGTCCCCCAAGAGCTGTAGCTCTTGGGCTGATTCTCAGCATCCTCTCATGCAAGCATTTCTTTGCCCCATGCTTCAGTAGCTCTCAGTTGTCCTGCACCCCACAATCTTATCTACCCTCTGTGGTCCCAACTTCAGGCCTGAACTTGATCATGTAGACATTGCCCATTGCCTATTCCCTGTATTCTCTCACCATCTCTCCCTGGAGCTCCTCTCCCCTGTCTGAAAGCACCTTCACCACTAAACTAGGCTGACCTATCTAGGGAATATCCAAGTGGGAGTGGGATGTGATTCTCTTAGGCCTCTTTCACAACTGTACTCTCTCAAAAGACAGCGTCTCCTCAGTTCTATTGAAAAAGTACCTCCGATTGGTCTATGGGGAAAGGGGTGACTTGCAATGCTATTTCTCTGGTCTTAGAAAGTGGGGAACGTGGGACTTTTATTTTTCATTGTGGGCTCTGGCCATTCACTCAGGAGGATCCTCGGTGGTCCCTCACACCACCATGACACTGCCACAGTGATGTCCCTTCTACACAGCAAGATGTCCGGAACCTTTTTGGGCCTTTCCTTGATGATTTCAGGATATCATTATCAATATCAACAGAGGAACGTCCCRTGACATGGACAGAAAACATTCTGGCCTTCCTGGGTCACTTGGGCAGTTCACTTCCCTCTGTTCTTAGCTCCCCATCTGGGGAACAGGGTAGTGGTTGAGAATGAAATGAGATGAGAGGTGGAACTGTACTTGGCAGACTGCTCAGTCTGCACTAAACATGCTCAAAATATCTGATGGCAAATCAAATCAGTTTTATTAGCAAAAAAAAATAACCAAAATTAAAAAAAACCAACAAGAAATCAGAAATAAAAATACTTATCCCTCTGAGAAGTTCTAAAGTAACCCACTGTTTCACTTTCAATAACATCATTCTACTTCCTATTTCTTTCCCAGGAACCAGATGAGAATGAAATTTCTTTGACCTTGAAACTTGAACAATAGCTTTTCACAAAAACTGAATACACTACACGGTCAGTTTTATTAAAGTGAATGCAAATAGTTTAAAAATCAAGTAACACAGAGGGTTTAGAATGAAGAGCTGTGGCTCTCATTTTTCTACCTTTCCCTCCACCTCGTCCTCTGACACAATGACTTTTAACCCTCAAGTCCTGGTATCTATCAATTTCTGCAGTTCTAAAGATCAGGTTTGTGTTGCTTTGTGGAGAAATTCTTCCAGAGTAAAACAAAAAGACAAAAAAAATTTAAAAAACCCAGAAAATATGAGAGGAAAGATAGATGAAGAACAGGGAGACAAACATCTGAATAAGAAGGGAAAAAAACTGACAAAATGGAGAGAAGCCACAGATTCATGGTTACATTGGGCGCACCCAATGTATTTCCCCATCTCAAAGTCAGCTGATTAGCAACTTACTTCTGTCTACTCTGCTGCCTATCTCTATCTACCTATCTATTTATCTATATCTTTACCCAAGGGTAAAGGTGACATTTCTATTTATACTTGTTAAGCAAAGAGGCTGCTTTCTGATATATGGCCCTTTCTTTTTTTTTCAGCTTTTTTAAAAAATGCAAATTTATTATCGTAGTTTTTGTGTCAAGGTTATGATCTAGCCTTAGGCCCAAGGTCCTCTTACAGGCTCACTAATTGTTAGCAGGATTCAAAAACTGAATTCTCTTTTCTGGCTTTCAGAAGACAGCTTTCAGCTCCTACAAGCTGTCCCTTAAGTTATTGCCACATGGATCATAACCCAGGCAATAGCCACGGTATTTACTTCTGAAAAGCCAGCAGGACAATCTCCATCGCGTCTCTCTCACTTCTGACTGTGACTTCTTGATATTCTTGTCCCAACCTCTTTTTTATACAATTCTACTCAGATCTTCTTTCCTTTCATCTTCMTGTCCCCCTACACTTCCTTTTGACTGTTACAGTATCTACTAAATCATAGTGAGTTTAAGATTGATAAATCCTCACTTATCTATGACTTAACAGAGTTGTTTTGATTGGCTGGTTAGATGGCTCTTTCTTAAGTCCAGTGAAAACAAATTTCACAGTCCCTTACTGAAAGCCATTTCCAGTCTCCATTTGCTTTTCTTTTCCCTTTGATTCTTTTTTCTCTACTGCTCTCTTTTGGACACCCTGAAATAAATGACCTGTGACAAAAAAAAATCTCTCCTGTGTACATACTGAGGGGTGAGTTTTCCTAAGTAGCTGACACTTAAAAATAAATCCCCAGTAGACAAAGGGGAATGAAGGAAAAAGAGGGGGAATGGGAATGGGAATGACAATAGAATTGAACATAACTTTCCTGTGTTCATGTATGAATACATGACTAGTGTAACTCCACATCATGTACAACCACAAGAATGGGAAGTTATACTCCATGTATGTATGAGATGTCAAAATACATTCTACTGTCATGTATAACTAAAAAAGAACAAATTTTAAAAAGAGAAACCCCTTCATGAAAGGAATTATTTCAAATAGCATTTGGCCTTTACCTAAAGTTGCAATAAATCACACCTAGAAAAATGCATCTTTATTTCAAGAGTAATTTCCCACCATTTAAGTGTRATTTTCCATTATTTTAACCTGTTGTACATTCCAGAATTTAAAATGTAAGGTATACAAATTTCCAGCATGAGGGAAGCAAAATGTGATCTGTTTGGTCTTATATATCAATCTTTCTCTTAAAATGTTTGAGTATATATAGACGATTGTCTTTTTAAAATTATAGTGTACTTTAAAATACCAAAAACTATGTCAAACAATAAAAGTTCAATGCAAAAGTTGAAAAAAAAAAGAAGAAATCCACAGTACATCTACCAATATGGATAAATCACAAAAGTCACATAGAGTAAAAAAAGTAAACTGCCGAGTGATGTATATAGAAAAACACTAGTTATACGTTACTGTATTTTACCACATGTTAAGTGTATCAGTAGCCAAAGAACATTGTACTTGTCCAAGTCAAAACTTGGAATAAAGAAATTAAATTTGAAACTGAAAATCCGAGTTATGATACATCAGTTTAACCAATAAAGACACTATGCTGTTAATACAAACATATTATTAAATTTTCATCCAGGTTAGGTCTTACTTAATAGTAATAACGGCTTTACAGTAGCCTGATACTGCCCTGTTTCTCTATCACCTACCTAGATCCTTTTCAATAATTAATATTACTCAAAACCATGCAGCTGAAATGGCACTGTACGAATATCCATTGGCTAAATGGAGACCCAGGAAGTTCTTGTGTAACCAGGATGAGAGGATATCTCCTAGGATCCCTGGAGGATCACTTTTACTCTGATACCCAAATGAACTGGCGAAGTGTTCACTCCATGGATGAAGGGAACGCTCTCTCTCCCCTAAGAATTCCTTGAATTCCTGGGGACTATTCCAAATAGTTCATCCTGCAGCCTGCTCCCCATTGTCACTTGAAGCAGGAAACTGTAATTCTCTCTTCTTGCCTGTATGTCCCGCCCTGCCCCCTCACCCCCACCCACCCCCACCCCCACCCTCGCTTGGAAAACCGCTGCCTAAATGTCATTCCTGACCTGCCCCCACAGGTTCTGCTCATACAAGSTTTTGTACATTCTACAATTTTATTAAAGGTGTGCTGATAACAGAATATTACAACACAGTGTAATACAGACAGACGTTTACAGTTGAATATTACATGTAAATACTCATAAATGCACTGGTTATTTTCTGCTATGGGGACTTTCTAATTAAGCTCTGACTTTGGCCTCTCTTTCTGCTGCTAACCTGTTCCAAGTCTCTCCTCCTCTCTAGTTTACCTTCAGACCCCAAATTCCCGTTACTTTTCTTATGCTAACTCAAGCATGTTCTACATCTTCAGCTTTGCCCTCCTAACCATGCCTCACTCAAAGAGACTCATTCTGTTGCTGTAAGAGAACACCCAAGACTGGTAAGTTCTAAAGAAAAGAGGTTTATTTTGGCTCAGTGATCTGGAGGCTGAGAAATCCAAGGTCAAGTGGCTGCATCTGGTGAGGGCCTTGTGGAGATTTAACTCAAGGCAGAAAGGGAATTAGGCGCATGTAGAAGAGAAGCAAGTCTTGCTGTAACCTAGTTTTGCAATCAAAAGAGCTCACTCACATGAGATGGCATTAATCCCTTCATGAGGGTGGATTCCTCATGACCCAAATGCCTTTTGAAAGTCCCATCACCTCTCAACACACTGTCATTTTAGGCACCAAACTGCATTATGAGTTTTGGTGGGGAAAACACATATTCAAACCACAGCATCCATCAAGGTATTTTTAAACCACATCTCAAAAAAAAAAAAAAAAAAAAAAAGCCTCAGAATTCTTTTTCCCCTGTTATGAATTACATCTTATCTTTATGATACAAAAAGAACTATAGTCAATAATTGCTTTAAATGGCACTTTTCCCCTTCTGCTGCATTTTCTTATATCTGCAATATAAGAAACAACAGTTTTGATGTCTACTGTTTCTAGAGTACCTAGCAGATTCCTATCTTGTCTATAATCCTCACAAAGCCCTGTAAAGTAGTAGGTGGTGTCTGTTTCTCTATCACCTGTCTAGATGCCTTTTCACATAATTAATATTCTCAAAACCATACATCTGAAATGGCACCGTTTGAATATGCATGAGTGAGTTTCCATATTACAGACAGAGACACTGAGGCTCACAGAAGGACTTGCCTACTTGCTGATCTGTAGGGTTTGACTGTGAACCACTGGCTATTTTATTCCTAAGCAAATGCCTGCCTCTCTACACACCACGGAAGACAACAGCCACCACCACCACCACTCCAGGATGCCTTTCATTCATGTGTTATTCTCTATCTGCATTCTTCTTAGGATTCCACTGCAATGTCTTTGTGGATCAACTATTTCTGGATCATCTTGGCTGGGGCCATCATTGTCGTCTCCTTGGTCCTAGGCCTCATCCTATACTTTGTCTGTCGGTGCCAGCTCAGACAAGGTAACAGTCATCTCATCTGGGCAGGTGGATGGATGTCAGGACATTAGAGCTCCTTTTGGGCAGGAAGATGAGTCCTGGGCTTTATGGGCTGAATTTTAAATTTCTGGGTTTGAGTCCTACTCCTGCCACTGACTTATGTTCCCAAGGCCTCAATTTCCCCATATGCATAGTGAAAGGGGGAGGTTAACTAATCTCCAGGGACCCTTCCAGCCCACAGAGTTTGGATGGAAGCAGAATTTGTTTCAAGGCACAATATGCTCAAAAGCTTTGTCTTTGAAATGGGACTATTGATTACAGCATCTTGTGTCTGGAGCTTAAAAGAAAATACACATATACAAAATATCAAAAACTATGTTTGGGAATGAAATACAGACTTGACCCATGACCAACATGTTTGGCAACCATGATTGCCTTCTACAAGACCATAATCTTGAACTTTCTGGTATTTGGTATTATCTCCTCCTTGACTAAAGGATTTGGACAACCTCACACACACACACACACACACACACACACACACACACACGACTGCTTAAGGATTAACACTAACTTTAGATTATCTACAATTAGGTTTTCAACTTTGCCTTTCGTCTCCAAAGTATGGTGGGTTTTCTTGAGAGCTTATCCCTTAAAAAAAAATGACCTAAACCAGAAGTATATAGGGGATGGTAAACACACTGAGAGGTACAGCCACCTTCCCCTGGGGCACTCTGGGTAGATATCCCTCAATAATCAGGACACTGTCCTCTTGGGCATCTAGACACAACCTCAAAATCTGGTTCAACCCAGTGCTGAAAAGTCGAGATTATATAAGAAGTGAAATCTTTTTGTTATTCTTCTCAATCTCTTTTTAGAAATAAGAAGATTAAATTTCAGAGGGAGACAGAGCGTTAATAGAGGTGCCATAGGAATTGGTGGCAGTTAGGACTAGAACTCAGATGTGCTRGGCTTCTAGTTCTATCCCTTAACATAATTAATTTTTTAATACAAAAATTGTCTCCTGGTATAGGTATAGTGGTAGAGCACTTGCCTAGCATGTGTAAGGCCCTGGATTTGATCCCCATTACTGGAAAAAAAAAAATACATTCTGGGTCCCTGTAATCCTCTATCCATTTATCTTCTTAAAACTTTTCATTTTCAGTTATGGACCAAAGTATGACCCTAAACAAAACTTTCCTATTGGGTTGGGGTTGTGGCTCAGCCGTACAGCGCTTGCCTCGCACATGTGAGGCACTGGATTCAATCCTCAGCACTGTATAAAATAAATAAATAAATAAACAAAATAAAGGTATTGTGTCCATCTACAACTAAAAAATAGATTAAAAAAACTTACCTATTCTCTTTTATCTTAAACTACTCATACTAACAAGTAAGTTATAATTAATATGTCTAACACTTCACAATTTACAAACCAGTTTTCCCTTTCATTTTCTCATCTCTTCCCAACTACGTTTGGTTGCTCATATGACCTGCATTTCTGAGTGCCAACCAAGTATCAGGCATAATACCAGGCAATGAAGAAACACAGCCTATGTGGTTGTTGTCCTCACTGGGTTAGCTCCCAGCCTCTGTGGTCAGATGGCCTGGGGTCAAATTGCAGCTCTATCAAGCTGGGTGCAGTGGTGCATGCCTGTGATCCCAGCTGCTTGGGAGGCTGAGGCAAGAGGATCAGAAATTCAAGGACAGCCTAGGCAATATATTATCACCCCATGTCAAATAAACAAATTCTAGCTCTATCACCTGGTACCTTTGTATTCCTAAGTCTATTTGTATTCCCTCTTGACAGTTCTTCTTCCAAATGTTCTGGACCCACTTGGTCTCTGAGGACTTCTAAACTCTAGAATCACAACTTTAGCGAATTCATCCTAAATCATTTTGGTTTTCCCCCACCTTAGGCAAGAAATGGAAAATTTCCAAGTCCATGAAACAAATCCATGGAGATGAAGAAGAGAAGATGTATGAGTAAGTGTGTGTGTGTGTGGGGGGGAATCTGCTTCTTAATTTTGAGAATCACCTGTTCACTTCTAACCTTTCCCCTCCACCACTGTTCTGGTATGACTGAGACGTCCACTTTTCCTGTGGAGTTGGCAAAACATTGTTGTGTGCCAATGCTCCCACTTTAAGGAAAAGGCATCATCTGGCACCCTGTTCTCCAAGGCTTCCCTTCTTGAGTCTATTTTGACAGCTGTTGCAAGTTGGGCTGTGTGTTCTAGGCCTACCACCTGCTCTACATCTCTTCTTTAGATGCTTCTTTGTTTTGTTGTATGTGGTGTGTTTGGGGATCTATGAGTGGTATCTGTGTGAGTGGCCCCCAAGGCCACCCTTAGGCTTGATGATTCACTAGAAGGACTCCTGGGATCCAGAAGCCATGACACTCAACGTTACAGTTTAATCCAGCAAAAGTATACAGCAAAGGAAAAAGACACATGGAGTGGCTACATACAAACCTCCAGTTGTCCTCCCGCAGTGGTCTTAAGGATCCCTTTAATTCTCCCAGCAATGATATGCAATGACACATTTGAAGTATCTCCAAACAGAGACATTCTCCTGAGCCTTGCTATTCAGGGTTCACTGGGGACTAGTTAAGCAGGCATAGATTGCCCACATGACTGATCTAGTTAGCAACTCAATCTCCAGAGCCTCCAGGAGTCAAATTGACACAGCATGGTCCAGGGTCCCAGGCAAACAAAAACATGCACCATGTATCACGTCATGAGCATAAACCATCTGTCAGGACATTCCAAGAGCTGGAAGCTGTGATCTCCCAGAAGCCAGTCAAGAAGAGCTCTTTCTTTGCCTTATATGCACTATTTAAAACAAAGTCTATGCTCTTCTAAAAGGCTTTTGTTGGTGCTCAGGGTGCACGGCACGTAAAACCCCTACCCAGCCCATTTTGATCCCCTTGAGAAGTAAGACGAGGTAGCTAGATGACCAAAATATCACTTTTTATCAAGAATAAAACTGGTACTGCAGTTAAGACTTCTTGCCAAAGTATAACATAATGTAGAAAGATGCATAGAGTAAGTACACAACTCAGTGAATTTCCCCAAACTGAGCAGACGCAGGTAATCAGCACTCAGTTCAAGCTAAAATATTACCAGCACCTCAGATACTTGCCTTATACCACCCTCTGCCATGAAAACCCAGAGGTACCTTCTACCTGGAATAGAGTATTCCATTGTGGGAGTAGACCATGACTGACTTATCCATTCTATGGCTGAGGGACATTTGGGTAGTGTGATGATTAATTTGATATGTCTCTTTTTCCAGAGAACCCAGGTTAATATAGGTCATATCCAGTTTGGGCCTTATGTTGATCAGTTTTCCATTACTAGAACAAATACCTGAAACAATCATCTGGTAAAGAGAAAAGGTTTATTTTGGTTCACAGTTTTGAAGGTCCTAATCCATGACTGGTTGGCCCCAATGCTTTTGGGCCACCACATTATGGTGGAGAGTACACGGTAGAGTAAAACCACTTGCCTCATAGCCAGGTAAAAGAAAGAAAGAAAGAGAATTGGGGGGAGGGAGGGAGGGAAGAAAGAGGAAGAGACCAGAACATTTCTACCATCTCCCAATGGCACCAAGCTGGGGACAAAGACTTTAATTCATGGGCCTCTGAGGGACATTCAGTAGGGCTGTTATGAATAGCGCTGCCATGAACATTCTAGTCGAGGTCTTTTGGTGAACATATGCAAACACTTTGGTAAGCTATAGACTTGGTGGTAGATTGCTGTCTTGGGTTGTGTGTACATTCAGCTTCAGGAGAACACACGTTTTGCAAAAAAAAATACACCCGATGCACACCACCCTCTCCTAATTCAGTTCAGGTGAACACAGGAGATTGCGCTTTACACACTAAGTTATAAAGCTTTAACTCTCTGCCCTCAATTTCAGCCATTCACTGGGCCAGAGGAAATGGTTTCTTTACAGTGGTAGTTGCAAATGGGATGTAGGACCTCGAAAGGGAAGAAAATGCTTTCAATTTGTAGGGATTCAGATTTGAATGTTCAACCCATTCATTTTCCTTGATGCTTTCTTATAAATAATTTGATCCAAACCAAATACTGATTCCTCTTTCTCTCTTTCCAGGAATGTTATTAATCAATCACCAGATCAGTTACCCCCTCTGCCACCCAGAGATTTGCATTTTCTAGGAGATTCTTGTAAGTACATTTTGCTGGTAACAGTTTCATTCAGGGTAGGATAGCAAATTTATCTAGATGACTTGATCATGTCAAACTGCCATAACAAAAATACCACAGGCTAAGTGGCTTAATCAATAGAAAAATTATTTGCCCACAGTTCTGGATGCTGGAAGTCTGAGAACAGGGTGCTGGCTGAATTGGTTCCTGACAAGGATTTCTTCTCTGTTTGCAGACTGCTGCTTTCTTACTATATTCTCACATGGGCTTTCCTCAGGGTATTTGAACTGGGGAAGAAAGGAAGAGAGCCAGCTCTTTGGTGTGTCTTCTTATAAAGATATAATGCTTTTGGATTTATATCTTATGACCAAATAGAGCCACATTGTGGGGTTAGGGCTTCAGCATATGAATTCTGGAGGAACGCAAATATGTTTCCAAACAATAGGATTGGCAGATGAAGCATCCTGTTTAAAAAAGACAAACAAGTTTCAGCAAGGTCAGAACTGCCAGGTTTAATGGTACATGCCTATAATCCCAGCAGCTCAGGATTCTGAGGCAGGAGAATGGCAAATTTGAGACCAGTCTGGACAATTTAGTGAGACCCTGTCTCAAAAAATAAAAAGGACTGGGAATGTAGCTCAATCCCTAGCCAAAAAAGGTGTGTGGGGCCAGATAGGGGCAGGGCCAGAATAAATACCAATGTTCCTGATACCCTAATGTGAATGTATAAATTCATGTTCAAATCCCAGCTTAGAACATGAGTAAAAAGGAATTAGACTATCACTATTCTTTTTCATTGTTTTTATTTTTTTGGTTCTGAAGACTGAACCCAGGGGCACTTTACCACTGAATTACATCCCCAGTCTTTTTTATTTTTTTTGTTTTGAGACAAGTTCTCAGTAAGTTGCTTAAGGCTTTACTAAATGGCTGAGGCTGACCTCAAACTTTCGATCCTCCCAGCCTCCTGAGTTGCTGGAACTACAGGAATGTGCCACTGTGCCCAGCAACTGTGAACGATTCCCATCAGATAAACGTACCTTGTCCCCTGACTGGAATGTTCTCCTTCAGCTCTTTGCATAACTGGCTTTGCCTGGTCTTTCCGGTGTCACCTGACAACCCTATCAAAGTACTTCTGCCACTTTTCCTTTATGAAACTCATAGCAGTTATCCAAAATCGTCTTGAGTTATCGTTAGTTTATTATCTATTTCCCCCACCAGAATTTAAACCTGAGGAAAATAGGAGCCTTTCTTGTCTTGTTTACCACTGTTCATACACCATCTGGAATAGTGTCCTGAGCTTAAGAGATACTTAATAAAAAATATTTTGACTGAATGGACAGATAATAATATTAGCTAATATTTATTGAGCATGCCCTGTGTGGCAGCCCCACTTCTAGCCATGTTCTCATTTAATCCTTATAATAATTCTATCTGTCATTTCCCTTTGACAGATGAGAATATTGAGGCATGGGGAACTTAGGTGACTTACCTGTGGTCACAAAGCTAGGATCTGAACATGAACTCAGATCTAATTGCTGAGTTCTACAAGAAATGAAAATGGGAAAAGACGAGATTGCCATAGAGGCAATTCCAATCCCCATCACAGAAAGAGCTGAGCTGTTTCATTGTTATATTAGTCCATTTTCCACTACTACAACAAAATACCCGAGGCAAGGGGTAACTTACCCCCAAAACAAAAAAGTTTATTTAGCTCACAATTTGGGAGGCTGAAAATCTAAACAGCATGGCACCAACTCTGGGGAAGGTGTTCCTAGCTATATATCACATCTTGRCAGATGGCATCATGGTGGGAGGGCGTGTGACAGTAAGCGATCACATGGGGAAGCAAGAAGCCAGAGAAGGGACCAATAACAATCTCTCCCTAGGCCCCATTACTTAAAAGCTTCACCACCTCTTAATGTTGCTATGGAGCTATTCTGCACTAAATTCCAGCTTTTGAAAACACCACTGTTTTCTTCCTCCTTAGCAGAGAAGTTTGTACCTGAGCAATTCAGATAGTCTTAGGAAACAATGTAAGTCGCTGGAAGGAAAGCACCATTAAGGAAATAATGGTTTGTTTCACTTCCTAGTGAGAATGAGAATCTGTAGAAACAGTGGATTCAACTGGCTGGCAGCTCCGCTTTGCTTTCCTAAGCATTTGCCTCATGGTGCATGGGCAGTGCAGACTTAGTCAGAGACGTGAGAGTCAGGATGTCTGATCAATATTTGTCATTCACTCACTTGGGTGATCCTGAGATCTTGTCACATCTGAGTTTCCTCTGACAAATGGGGGATCTGGTCCACCAGGAAGTGAGATCACCAAAACCCATAGAAACCATGCTGAGCTACTTAAATAAAAATACATCAATACACAATAGCTTCGCATGTAACGACTTTTTTGTGTAATTTAGCCCTACAGGAAATCCCAGCTCAGTCACCACCTATGTATTCATCGGTGAATAAAATTAGAAACAAGAAGCCCGTTTCCAGCCTGGGCTACACCGAGCCTGAAAATGACTATGATGATGTTGAAATACCTGCAAATACGGAAAGCCATCATTTTAAAACAACCATGTCTTCTTTTTGACAAGAGGAAGAGGGTTCACACAGATTATTTTAAAGTGATCAAGAATGGTTAAAAAAAAAAAAAAAAAAGAATGGTTGAACTTGAATAGGTCCCTGGGTCCTGAAAGCCAGTTGTTATTTAATGAAGCTCTATAAGAAAAGCACTTCCTGAACCTTARATGAAGCTGCCTCAGGGATTGGATATAGTAGCCAGAGGAAAGACACRATGCTTGGTCCTGAGAATCAAGGGAGGTCAGCCTTTGTGCTTCTGTCGGGGAAGTATTCATGGGGTACACCACTGGGCTCCAATCTCACACCTCTGACGAATGTCTCATTTCTCGACATTCTCCTTTTGTTCTCTTGATTTATGCGGTTCTCAGTGATTTTATGTCTTGGTATTTGATTGTACAGAGTTTCCCAGGCTCCAATCCCCAGGTAAGCCCTCGCAAAGCATTCAGGTATTCCTTCCACCCCACCCACCCTGCACTGAGAGGCTGGGGGTGGTTGTTACAGCCAAGCACCCTTGTATAGAAGTCACCGCTTCTCACTTTACAAGTTTTACAGTGCAGAGAGTGCACTGTATTCTTGAGAAACCTCGCCACCTATACACACCACACCCCAAGCCCCCATGTCTTTATATGATTTAGGGCACTGACCATAGAGAATCAAGTTCTTACCTAGGTTTTCTCCTGTGCTCACAGGTAGCCTTAGAACAATCAACCAAAGACAGAAGCTATCTTCTCATTTACACCTAGAGGTGTCATTTTGCAACAGGTGTGCTGAGGGTGCTACAGGAAAAGTAGGTCCTCCCAAGAAAAATCATGGGTCGACATCACTGAACAATGGCATATTCAAGATAAGAGTTCAGGGGACTTAACACTCCCATCCATAATTTACTTATTTTTTTTTTCTGGTACTGGAGATTGAACCCATAGGTGCTCTATCACTGAGCTACATTCCCAGCCCTTTTTGTTTATTATTATTTATTATTATTATTATTTTGAGATAGGGTCTTGCCAAGTTGCCCAGGCGGGCCTTGACCTTGCAATCCTACTGCCTCAGCCTCCTGAGTACCTGGGATTATGGAAATGCGCCACCACACTTGACCCACCTGTAACTTTCATAATTGCCCCTTCTCTTCCATGCTGGTCTTCCTCAGGGTTCTTTCCCAATTCCTTCTCTCATCTCCCTCTAACTACTCATGAGTGGTCTCACCGTTGTCCATGAGCTTCGTGTCCTCCATTATGATGACTTCCAAATTGCAGATTCCGGCTGAGCACTCTCGCGCTCTCTCTCTCTCTCTCTCTCTCTCTCCACTCTCAGCCTTCCCACCCTCCTTTTCTCTCTCTCCTGGGTTGCTTCCAGGACATCTCAATATGATTATTCTGTAGAACCCTCAAGTTCAACATATGCCAAAGGAAACTGATCACCTACTCCCAAGTCCAAACTATTTGTGCTTTATTATCTTCTTAGTTCCTGGTGTCAAAAATTAGCATCCTTCTCCTCTCTCTACCTTCTGTTTACATCATTTTCCACACCTTCTGCTGATTGTGCCTCAGCCCACAGTGTCCATCACCATTCTGAGTCAGGCCATGGCCAGTGCTTGCCAAGAGAATTTAGCAGCTTCCTACTGTTGTCCTGCCTCTGGCATCTCCCCCTCCAGATCACTCACTATATGGCAGCCAATGATTTTGTAAAGTGAACATCTGACTGCTTCCTTCCCCTGCTTAAATCTCCTCTTTGCCCATTAACCTCAGGAAAAAACAAAACAACAAAAAAGCTCCTAACCTGGCTTGCAGGTTATCAGGATCTGGTTACTGGTTATTTCCTGCCAACCCTGTTTCCTCCACCTCCTTGCAATCTTCACTTTTCTCCAATTTTTTGTTCTCACCTTTGCCATGGCTTCTCTTGTCCTTGTGCCTGTGCACAGTTCCTGCTGTATGGAACCTCCTTCCCCACTTTCCAATCCTTCCTATCTCATCTGAAGTATCCTTTTATCATCGCCCCAAATTTGAGTCAGGTGCTCTCTTAGATGCTTTCCTCTTGTAGCATTCGTACCCATAATGATCTGTTCATTTGTCTTTCTCTTCCATTTGGCTGAAAATAACATGAAGATAGGGTTTGTGTCTTTCTTTCCTCCATTGTTTTCCTGGTTCCTAGCACATTTGGATGCTCAATAAATAAATCGGATGATCAACTGAAATGAGTGAATGCGCAAACACTTCTGGGCTCTCATTTCTCCCTATATTTAGCTCTATGGAAAGGGCTTCTCCCTTTGCATTATAATTGCCTGGTGATTTTCTTCCCCCCTTCCTAATCTGGGGACTCCTTTGGGGTGGAACTTGTCTGCCTCATCCCTGTATTGGTCGGCACTCGGTAAACATTTATCAAATGTTGAATATTAATGGAAAGTCTACACAACAATAACAAGAAAAATTAAGTTTTCCTGGACAGTTGTAATTTGATTGAGACTTTAAACCAAGCACATGTAATAAAGCCATGTTTTCTGCCAAGGAAATTGTGATCAGTTTGGTTGACAGACTAAATATATCAAGATTTCACAGGATCTTTGCATGTATCCCAGCCCCTTTGGAAATCTCAAGTCAGTGACTTGGGGTTTAATAGTACTGTTGATTTAATAGCACTTAAAAACAAGAAGATACAGCCAGGAATGGTGGCCCACGCCTGTAATCCCAGCAACTCATGGAGACTGAGGCAGAAGGATAGCAAGTTCAAGGCCAGCCTTGGCAATTTAGCAAGACTTTGTCTCAAAATAAAATAAAAAGTGCTAGAGTGGTGTAGTTCAGTGGTAGAGGGCCTCTGGGTTCAATCTCCAGTAGTGAAAAGGGGGTGGGGAGGGAAAGGGAGAGAGAAACAGAAAGAAAGAAAAGAAAGAAGTAAGAAAATTTCCATCCTGAGTTACACTGGACCTGAAGATAACTATGATGCTGGTGAATACCTATAAATAATGAAAATCATCATTTTGAAATAACTGCTATTCTATCACCTAAATGGTTTTGAAAACTCATGTCCCATATTAGGGGAGTATAATTTTCTATTTTTTTAAATGTTAGTGTATTTTTTACACCTTTATTTTATTTACTTATTTTTATGACCATAGAGAATCAAGTTCTTACCTAGGTTTTCTCCTGTGCTCACAGGTAGCCTTAGAACAATCAACCAAAGACAGAAGCTATCTTCTCATTTACACCTAGAGGTGTCATTTTGCAACAGGTGTGCTGAGGGTGCTACAGGAAAAGTAGGTCCTCCCAAGAAAAATCATGGGTCAGCATCATGCTGAGGATAGAACCCAGTGCCTCATACATGCCTAGGCAAGCCTTCTACCACTAAGCCACAACTGCAGCCCCAGTTTTCTTTATAAGAGTTGCAGTCTTTCTCTAAGAAACTAACAACAACAACAACAACAAAAAAAAAAACCTGTTTTCAGGAAATGCACTGGTATTACCAGTAACAAATTTTATAAATCCTATGTATGGGTTATGATGCTTCAGGCCACAAGAAACTATCCAACTAAAAATAAATTCTCACAAACAAGAAGCCTAGAGAAGAGCACTCCAGAATTCAGCCGTATCATGACTTAAGCATATGGGCTGACTTTGACTCTTTTAACTTTCTCCTTATGGTGGCAAAATAGCTACCATTGCTCTGAGCATGTCATTCTTATATGCTAACATCCAAAATTAGGAAAGAAAGATGTATTTCCTCCCATGTACATCTTTTTATTTAGAACAAAAACTTTTCCCAGGGCTGGGGTTATGGTAGAACATTTGTCCAGCTTGTGTAAAGCACTGGGTTCAATTCTCAGCACCTCATATAAATAAAATAAAGGTCCATTGACAACTAAGAATTTTTTTAAAAAAAACCTTTCCCAGAAGCACCCAGCAATGTTCCCTAATGTCTCATGGGTTTAGATTGGTCACATGACTGTGTCTTTGTCCATTTTATCTGTTATAACAAAATACCTTAGACTGGGCAACAGAAACTTATTGTCCATAGTTCTGGAGGCCAGAGAGTCCAAGACCAGGCACCAATAGATTTGGTGTCTAGTTAGGACTGGTTCTCATCTTCAAAGATGGTGCCATCTCGCTGTATCCCACATTGTAGAAGAGACAGATCGCTTTCTGGGTTCTCTTTTATAGGGGCATTAATCCCATTCACAAGGACTCTGCCTTCACCATCTAATCACCTTCTAAAGACCCTACCTCTTAATTAATACCAATACCTTGGGGATCAAATTTCAATTATGTGAATTTTGGGTGAATGCAACATAAGCATATTTTTTGCCTCTGCCCCCCCCATYCATGTCCTTCTCACATACAAAATATACTCATTTGATTTTTTCTTTCTTTCTTTTTWAATTTTTTAAATTTGTTTTAATTAGCTATACATGACAGTAAAATGCACTTTGAGACATAATATATAATGTAGTATAATTTCCTGACTGCATTATAAAGAATAAAAATACATGTTCAAGAGAATGGCCAAGTGAACATTTTTTTTAAAGGGGGGGGGGGAGAGAGAGAGAGAGAGAGAGAGAGAGAGAGAGAGATTTATTTGCTTATTTTTTTTAGTTTTCGGTGGACACAACATCTTTGTTGGTATGTGGTGCTGAGGATCGAACCCAGGCGGCACACATGCCAGGAGAGCGCGCTACCGCTTGAGCCACATCCCCAGCCCCCAAGTGAACATTTGATAGGAGATTAATAGGGACAGATGGAACTCATCAAGAGGATGGAAGAGTAACCCTGAAGGCATTTTGGAAATCTTTGAGGTTCTTCTGCCCTTCACAGGCTAGGGTGCCAGGGCCTTGATGAATGATTTCAAGGTACTGCCTCCTATAACCTCCTCAGTTCCAAATCTCATTCTTGTGGCTATACATGATGTTAAATCCCACTGGTTGTAGAGTTATACACGTGCACAAGGTAATAATGTCTGATTCATTCTACTATCCTTCCTACTCCCATACCCCGTCCCCTTCCCTCTCCACCCTTCATTCCCCTC